CAAAAAAATGAACAACTTCTCCATACGTTATCCAAACACTTGCCAAGGAAACAAATCTTTCACTCATTGAACGATAAAACAAACGTTCTAATTTTGGAAAGATCAATTTATTATCTTTTGAAAATGGACCTGGTTTAGTGTTACATCGATTTGTGCATTCAGATCCTGATAGAGGGTATCACGATCATCCGTGGAAGTTTGGCATTAGTTTGATATTAAGTGGTTCGTATAGGGAAATTAAAGTTTCGCATTCGAATAAAAAGATGAGTGAGAAGGAGTTTCGTGCAGGAAGTGTTAATTATTTCAGTGGGAAGGATTATCACCGAGTCTTGCTGAAACCTCAACCGAATGAGAATAAGGAAATTAAGGAATTGGATGAAAATAATGAGGAAATTGTGGACGAATGTGAGGTTTGGACTTTATTCTTTCATTGGAAACGAGTTAAAATGTGGGGATTCCTCAAAGAGGAAGAAACCTCTCAGGATGGATGGAAATTCAATCAATACAGCAAGACAGTGGAAGATATGGATGGTGCTTGGTGGAAGGATGAAATCAAAGTAAAGAATTAGTAATTAAGATTCACTACATGTTCAATAATTGTACTAGGCATTATTATTTAATAAAATACCACAAACATTTTGCAAATCCTCACTCGACAACAAACCGAATAAATACAATGATCCTTATGTAATACTCAAAACCATCTTTCTCGGCCAATTGGCTTTGATCGAGTGTAGTATCTGTTCTTTTCAGTTTAATAGCTGAAAGCAGCCCACGGGTTGCATTACTATTAACTCAATTTTTTGTAGGGATCAGGGTTTGAGCTTAATTGCTCACTTTGATTTGGTTTCAATCAGACATTGCACAAACCGTCAGATTAGGAGCCACCCAACTCTTTTTATTAATTGAAAAATCATTGCACATAGAGAATCTCAATCAGAGTAAAATTGAGTTTTTTTTAAATTCCGAACATGTATGATGACGAAGATATTAAATTAAATAATAGTAAGCATGATGAGGGACCCAAAACATGAACAAGATGGAGGATAAATTGAATCCATCAAATATCAAATGCAGTCCTGCATTAATTAAGGAAAATGTAAGGTAAAGCACAAGATTCATTGGTTTTTTGAGCTCAACTTTTCCAAGTTCAGTTGAGCATCTGCTTGTGATTTTTGAAGAAAATAGGTCAGTATAATCTGAGGTTATCTTCTTTATGGTTTTAAGAGATGATCATTTGAAAATCGAGAATTAGGTAGACTATATGCTTTTATCGATATTTTGAAACTATTAAATATTAAAATTTAATCTCGAGTGCCGGGAATTGAACCCGGGTCGCCAGAGTGACAGTCTGGAATGCTACCACTATACCACACCCGATTTTACATATTCTTTCAAAATATCATCACTCTTATATAGTTCGTTATCGAGATATTTGGCAAGATGCCAAGTTAATGGAAGGGAAAGAAGAACATCAGGTAAAGGTAATGACTCCAAATTAGAGTCGGTAAATAGTATAGAAAGAGCATCTCCAAAATTCCACATACATGATTTCACAATTTTCAAATATTCTTTTGAATTGGTTTATTTAGCAATCACATTATGATCCACCTCCACTCACTCCATCATAAATAATTTCAGTCTTTCTCAATAATTCTCTATCCTCCACTGTGGTGACATTCCTTTCCCTCCAATTTTCATAAAAGTTTCTCATAATTGAGGCACACAAATTTCCCTCATACTTATTACATCCAGCCAAGTGAAATATAAATGATTTACCCTCCTTATAATCATACATGTACGAATTGAGGAATGATTTCAAGGCAACTCGAACATTCTGAGATTTTCCATGTTCGAGTTCCATAACGAGTGGAGTTTGTTCTGCATACCAATGCATGGAATAGAGAAAGTATTTCCAACTGAGTACATTATTCAATATCTGATGTGACCATTTACAATTTCTAATAGCCATTATTCCACTATTCAATCCATTTCTATCATATGAAATGATTAGGTTAATTTCTCCATTCTTATTCGGATCTCGTTTCAACGATTCCTCAATAATTTGATCCAAATCAACTTGATGCAATAACACAAGTGCATCAGAATCAATCCAAATAATCCAATCATAACTACTCAATTGACTTTTGATAAGTGGAATCTTATTCCAAGCAGGTTTCACAAACCATGATTTATAGAAAGGTTGATTGAATAGGATAAAATCATAATTATGCTTTAGAGAGTAGAAAATCTTGTTCAGACTTGTCATTCGTCCAATTTCTTGAAAGCTTTTCGTATGGAATGAAACGATTGCAATTTTAGCTTTCGAATATTTGTTTCGGATTATGATTGGATGAAGAAAAGTTAATTTTTCATCAATATTTGGTTGATAGAGAATGAAGAGAAATATATACACGAGACAACTAGATATTGTCAGTAAAATCAAGGAAAGTATTGTTCTACGTCTTGTTGTCCACATTTTTTTAAATATTTGATTAGAAACAGAGACAAATGACATTTATTTACTTCTTTGATGTTTGTTAACCGCATCTATTCAGAAACTTATGAAACTTATTACGAACTTTTCTCATTCCTCACTGTGGATTTGCTTCATTTATGTATTAAATGTTTTGATTCTAAAACAATCAAAGCATTTCTTCATCAGTGAGGATTTTTATTGGATTGGATTCTGGTTTGAAGAAAGTTTGGTTTCGTTTAAATATTCTTTGCATAATTCGAAACTGTTTTTCCATAATTTATCTTGCAATTCAATGGAATCTTCATATGGATCCAACCTTTTCCTGACAATCAGCATAATAGTTACCCGATTTCAAATCTTTCTTATTCGAAAGAGCCAAATGAATTGTTGTTTGAGCTCCTTGATAAGTACTCTTCAAAACTAAGGCAAGTATTGGAAAGAGGAAGATTTTGGTGCATAATCTGAATAATAGAGGCATGTGCTTTCCCATATTTGACTTTACAGTTCCTGGATGATTAGAATAACATTGAACTAAATTGGAAGAATCTAGAGCTAGTTCTCTGCTTAATTTTTTGCTAAATAAAATATTGGCCAACTTGGATCTCCTGTAAAGTGCAAAATTATTGGGATGTGATGTCTTACAATCTCCAATCAATGACTCCAATTCAAAATTTGCGTATTTTTCAATAAATTCCAAATTTGAATTTGCAGAGACAGATGTCAAATTAATAATTCGACCATCTTTGGATTTTTTAAGCAAATTCAAAAGTAAGTGTGTGAGAAGAAAGTGGCCCAAATGGTTGCTTCCAAATAAAAGTTCCACTCCTTGTTTGGTAGTTCCGTAAATTGACATGATTCCTGCATTGTTAATTAAAATGTCAAGCTGATTGAATTTTGACATGAAAAGTTCTGTAAATTTCTTAACAGAAGCTAAATCTGCTAAGTCGATGAGCATTACAATTAATTTGTCAGAATTTCCATTTTCCTTTTCGATTAATTCTTTAGCCTTGTCACCAGCCAGTTGATTTCTGACAGCCAACACAACTGTTGCTCCCAATCTGTGCAATACTTTGCTAGTTTCAAATCCTATTCCACCAGCACTTGCTCCAGTGACAATAACAATCTTACCTGTCAAATCTGATGATTTCAGTAATTTTTCACTGACAGTTGGCCCGTTAAAATACTTTCTAGCAAAATAAATACCAACAGTCAATGGAATTAGGCTGCAAGCAAAAGGAATAATGTGTGTATTCAGTTGAAACATTTTTTTGTTGTGTGAAACTTGATTTTTTGCATCCGTATTAGGTTTACTAATTATGTAATTTGGTGATTAGAAAGTGCATCATGTTTTCAAGTGGAGACTTATCTAGGTTGGCTACCTGGTACTTCTCTTCATAGCATTTTCAACACCAACACACCATTGTAAACTGTTAATTGACCAGCAAATTATTTATTATAGTTCTACACTATTCTACACCCTTTCTTTTTTATTGGAAAATCTCACCAAAAGTCATCCAAATCCAAAATATCTTTTTGGGGAAAATTCAGAAGAGCAATTAGAGCAGCTCAATAAGGGTATGCTTTCAATCTTTTTTGTTAGGTGCACTAACTGATTTAAAAATATACAAGGTAACTTACTTTCATACTTCTACTGTATAATACTACTTATTAAGTGATGCTAATTGTTTCATTTCACTTATGAATTTTACTCCTTCATCACCAATTTGATTTCCACCAATATCAAGTGATTTTAATCGTTTCATTTCACTTATTGACTTGGCTCCTTCATCACCAATTCGATTTTCAGAAATATTAAGTGATGTTAACTGTTTCATTTCGCTTATTGACTTGACACCTTCATCACCAATTCGATTTTCAGAAATATCAAGTGATGCTAATTGTTTCATTTCACTTATAAATTTGACTCCTTCATCACCAATTCGATTTCTACCAATATCAAGTGATGTTAATCGTTTCATTTCAATTATTGATTTGACTCCTTCATCACCAATTCGATTGTTATAAATATTAAGTGATGTTAACTGTTTCATTTTGCTTATAAATATGGCACCTTCATCACCAATACGATTGTTATAAATATCAAGTGATGTTAATTGTTTCATTTCACTTATAAATTTGGCTTCTTTATCACCAATTCGATTTTCAGCAATATTAAGTGATGTTAATTGTTTCATTTCGCTTATTGACTTGACACCTTCATCAATTCGATTGTTATAAATATTAAGTGATACTAATTGTTTCATTTCACTTATAAATTTAGCTCCTTCTACACTAATTTGATTTCTACCAATATCAAGTGATTTTAATTGTTTCATTTCTATTATTGATTTGACTCCTTCATCACCAATTCGATTGTTATAAATATTAAGCGACGTTAATTGTTTCATTTCACTTATAAATGTGGCTTCTTTATCACCAATTTGATTTTCAGAAATATTAAGTGATGTTAATTGTTTCATTTCACTTATAAATTTGACTCCTTCATCACCAATTCGATTTCCACCAATATCAAGTGATGTTAATTGTTTCATTTCTATTATTGATTTAACTCCTTCATCACCAATTCGATTGTTATAAATATTAAGTGATACTAATTGTTTCATTTCACTTATTGACTTGACACCTTCATCACCAATACGATTGTTATAAATATCAAGTGATGTTAACTGTTTCATTTCACTTATAAATTTGGCTTCTTTATCACCAATTTGATTTCCACTAATAATAAGTGATGTTAATTGTTTCATTTCACATATGAATTTGGGTTTTTCTATAGAGTCAAACAACCTTTTAGAAAATTTAACATTAACAATACTATTCATAAATTGACTCTTCATGAATAATTTAATTCTTTTCTCTGTAAATTTCTTTTTAAATTTAATAAAAAGTTTTGAACGCTCCTTGATCACATTAAAGAATTGTTTTGAAATCAAGGAACAATTATCAAAATAACCACGAAT